AAATGAATTCTTTCAGAGAAAATTATCATTTCCAAACATAATGAACCCATTATGAGCAGAGATTTAAAAGTCATATTTGTGGAAAATGGGGCGTTATGATTATGATTTAATGGTCCATGAAGTGAATCACAGGCGAGTGGTTACTTCTTTGCAGATCACAGTGGTTCTGGGGGGGCCTGAGGGCAGCAGTCTAAGGCAGCACTCCCAGGCATCTCTGGGCACCTGGCTCCCATCTGAGCGCCAGGGCCTTTCTCGGTTCCAGGCTGAGGTTACTCATGTGGTAGAGGAGGCATCCGAGGTCTGAGTTCTCTCTTTCTCTGCCCCCTCTTCCTGTTCCCTCCACCCTGCCACTGACTCTTGGGACAGCGCAGTACCACCACCATCCACAGGGTCTGTCCAGCATCCCCGCTTCATGGGTGTCAGTCCTTCCCTTGTGGAAATGGCACAGAGGACATTGCTACATAGCTTGTGGCTCCACAGCCTGTTCCCAGGGACAAGGGTCGGGAGCTCCTATGTGGCCTGACCACTCGTGGGGCAGAGGCCTGGCTGAGCATGATGCAGCCCTGGGTCACCTGCTGTGGGAGGGACAGGACTGCCTGTGGGCGTTGCATGGGGAGACCGTCCCCACACTTGCTTGGGCATGGTGCCATTTCCCTCTGCGTCCATGACATAGCCTCTGCTGTCCCTAGATCTGGGGGTAGAGTGGAACTGGAGTCCCAAGTTCCCTGTGGCTGGCCCTGCACCCCAAAAAGACACTCACTGGAAGATGCCCTGGCCCCTCCCATGCCAAAGGCACAGTGAGAGGACCCTGGCGGGGAGTGAGGGGGACTGGGACATCGTGCCAGGTTCAGGGTCTCGGCAGTGTAGTGGGGAGGATGACAGATAGAGGACCTGGTAATGCAGAGGAACTCAGAGAGCAGCCCCAGACAGGCAGGGAGCTACCTACTGCAGGCTGTAAGTCGGGAGACGGGACCATGCTGGGGCTCTGAGCAACCAGGGAGGGGGTGTCTAGGGTGGGACACTCTACCACTGGAGCTTCAATCCAGTGCTCCATGCAGCAGGGGGAGCTCTACCGGGAGGCTCCTGGGCCCACCTCCCAGTCTTCTCTACAACTATAGTGACTCCAGCCACCAGAACCTCAGGTGGCTTGTCCTTGTCCAGTACAACCTTAGCAACCAGCAGCCCTGGCATTCAGGCTGTCTGTAGACAAACCCCGCTAGCTGGCTGCCAAGGGCATGCCTACTCAAAAGATCAGTCTGGAGTCAGCCTGGACTTCACACAGAGACTTATCAGGGTCTCTGCCATGGGCAGAGACAGGGTGGGGCAGGAGGAGCTCCATGCACCCCAGTCTGCCCCCATAGCCTGTTTCAGGCCATTGTCTTTGGTGTCTACTAACAATGGCAGGCCAGTGGGGCTGGTACACAACCTGGCTCCTGTGAAGTCAGAAGCCACAGGGTCACTCAACCTGTGATAGTGTCACCCACCAAGGGACAGGAAAATATGAACTGCAACATCAGTCACAACAGCCACAGGCAGGAGCCGCCCAAGTCACCCTGTCAGACCCCCTTCTTGTCTCTCAAGGGAATGCTGGAGCACCCAGGGCTGGTCCTGAGGATGGACCAAGGCAAACCCAGCCTCACCTCATGTGTCTGTGGATACCGTTATCTACGTGCATGGAACTGTGGCCTGAAGTCCTTTCTTGACACTTTAAAGATGCCATTATCTTCTGGTTTCCACATTTTCTGGGGAAGAATCTAGCCATTTTATTGTTGTTCCCTGAATGTAGTGTCTTTTTAAAATAAAATCCCCAGTGGTTTTATTTGGTCTTCAGAATTTTGACTATTATGCACGTAGAGGTGGTTTTCTTTTGGCTTTTTTTTTTCCTGCTTATCACTTGCTAAGTCTATGTGTTGATATCTCCAATTTTGAATCTTCTTGGCTACTACATATGTAGATATTGCTTCTGCCTCATTATCTTCTTTGGGGCTTTGTTTAGTCAGCTTTTCATTGCTGGGACAAAACATCTGACACCCACACTTAAAGGGTGAGGGACTCGCTTTGGCTTTCAGTCAGCAGCGGGCTGGGAGAAGGAGTGTCATGGCAACAGGGCCTGGTAGGACAAAGCCTCTCACCTCAAAACAGTCCAGAAACAGAGAGCAGGCCAAGAGCCCGGGAGGAAGAGGCCAGGGATCGCAGCGGTCCCCAAGGTGGACCCCATGCTCCACCTATACTCATCCTGAAGGGCTCTTCCCCATCCCCGGGCCTCCCTCAAGCCAGCAAAGTTGACAGTCAAGGGTGATCATCCCAGAGGCTCTGAGCACACCAGTCAGGTGGCCTCATTGCCCTGCTCCCGCTTTATGCTGTCTTCTCTGTCCTGGCTTAGCTCATTTCTACTGTTTTATATCCAGGTTAACTTTTTTTCTTCTGCTGTGACTTCTGACCTTTAGATGTTGTATTTTTAAAGTTACAGAATCACTGAGGGCTGATGAGACCCTGGGGTACCTGTAGGGGGATGACAGGAACAAAGAAAGAGAAAGAGACAAATTTCAGGGTCTGAGGTAGACTGGGAGGAGTTTGCCTCTAGTGGACAGTCCGCTGTCTCCTTGGTTGGCTCCCTTTTATTGGCCAGCAAAAAGTGCAGAGTGGGGTGGTTGCACACATTTCATGGAACAGTAACTATAGAAAGTAGGCAAATAAGGATTAAATTAATGAAGAACCAGGTTTTATCTAAACCCAAATGTCTGTATTTTGACAACTTTTTTGTTTTCTGGGACAGGGTCTCACCATGTAGTTCAGGCTGGCCTTGAACTTCCTTGTGTAGCCCAGGCTGGCTTCGAACTCAGGGAGATCCTCCTTCCTCAGCCTCCCAAGTGCTGGGATAAGAGGTGTGTGCCACCATGCCCAGCTGTATTTTGACAATGGTCTCCAGCAGATGCTATCTTGTCTCAGGAGTGCCAGGTTATTAGCATTTCATCCAGAGCCGGGGGCGTGTGGCCTTTGTATACCTGTTAGTGAAGCAAGTTCACACTGGCCTCAGGACTGCAGGGGGCTTAAATCACATAGTTGGCCCCATAATCTATCACATAGCCTGGTCCCCACCACACAATGTGCCCATGGCTCTTCCATTAGGAATCTCCATCCTCTCTGACCCTGCCCTGGAGGACCTTGGGGAGCCCTGCTCCACTTCTCATCCACCCATGAGTGTGTGCTTTTCACTCCTCCTGGGAGTTGGGGACAAGTGACCTCTCCTACCTCATGTCTGCAGGCAGGGGTGTTATTCCTTTGGCTGAGCTACTTTGCCCCATGGAGATGTCTCTCCAGGGTATGGGGTCTCTTACAGGCCATGAGGGCAGCCAATCCCTGCTGCTAGGAACCTGACAGGCAACAGGCTCTTGGGAAGGACAGGGCAGGACCCTAGTTACACCATGACAGAACTGTGGGCAGAGGGTCCCTACAGGATCAAACACTCCCAGCATCACCAGCCCTTTGGTGGTACATTTTAGTCCAGCTGCTGCTGGGAAAAGGGACAAGGAGATGCAGCAAAAGTCCTGTGAACCTGTGGGCCTTCTTTCAAGACAGACACGGACCCTCATGACCCCTTTGGGTCAGGAGATTAAGCTAGGCTTGGGTTCTGTGCAGTATACAACGTGTCAGCCAGGCCTGGTGACGCACACCTGTAATCTCAGCACTCTGTCAGGCTGAGACAGAAAGATGGCAAATTCAAACCCAGCATGGGCAATGTAGTAACTTAGCAAGATTGTCTCAAAACTTTAAAAAGGGCGAGGATGTAGCTCAGTGGGAAGGCCCTAGGTTCAGTCCTTGGTACCATAAAACAAACATACAAGCAGACCTCTGCCCACCCCTAGATACACACTCCTGCATGCTTTAGTCCCAGCAAGGGAACTGCATGGACTGGTCCTTGGCTTTCAGCTGGGCGAGGGGATGTGGGGTCCTTCTCCACAGTCCAGTTCATCTCATGGGGCCAGGCTTGGACAGTGGTTTCAGGCTTCACCCAAGGCCTGGGTGCCTACCAGGGACCACTACCTCTTTGGGGCTCCCTCGACCTCCCCCTCCTCATCCCTCAGTGCCCTTCCCTTTACTTCATTACACCCATTCACCTTCTCAGAGCTGCTATGTGTGTCCCTGGCTCAGTCTGTGGCTCCAGCCCTAGGGGCAGTGAGGTTGGACAGTGAGACCGCTACCCCTGCCCTTTCCTGTCCCTGCTCTCCTCCAGCTTCTGCTCTGTGAGTGCCACCTGTCTTCCAGAGACACAGCAGAGCTGTGGGGTCCACCTGGCTCTGTGGGCATCGTGGAGGTACAGCTCTAGGTTCAGTCTCAGAGACAGACAGAAGGACAGACAAACTTAGGACTGAACCTAGGGGGAAAAAGCTGCTGTAAGACAACAGTGGAGGGGGCAGTCACCAGGAAAACTCGGGTTCCAAAGAAGCACTCAGGGGCCTGACAAGCACAGCCAGAGCACAGGGCTGCCTGCAGGCTGGGTCCCGAGTGGACAGATAGGGGCCGCGGTGCTGGGGGATGGTGAGCCGGTGCTGTCTTGAGGAGTGACAGGGTAATGCCATGGGGTGCTCTTTGCCATCCAGTGTCTCCTGGTGGGTTTGGCTAGAAAGTGGGGAGGCTATGAGCTCCCAAGATCCTGCCAGAGATGGAAGGACAGGCAGAGACAGTGGAATGGGGAGGGCACCCCCCCCCCCCGCCACTTCCCCCGGGGGCTGATGCTGTGAGCTCACTATCCCAGGTCAGGTTCCTTCAAGACCGGACCTCCTCTCTGGGAAGGAGTTGCTGCGACTGGAATCTCAGGGTCCCGCCCTGTCTCCGCTAGGCGCTGGGGCTTGATCACATCGGAAAATCCAAAGCTGGGCGGGGAAGCGCGGGCAGGCCGGCCCTACTCGGGTTCGCGCCCGCTATCCGGCGAGTGGGTTGGGTTATTAATACCCAGCTGGCGCGCGGCGGCGCATTCCCAGCTGGCGCGGGGCTCCGGGCACTCGGGCGCCAGCGGGGAGGCGGAGCGGACGGCGTGGACGGCGATGGCCGGGTAAATGCGGGGCAAGGTGAGAGCAGGACCCGCACAGCGCGCGACCGTGGGAGGTGGGAGCCGCCGGGGGGCCCGGGACAGGGACTCCGCGGCCCCCTCGGGCTGAACTGCACCCCAGGCTCTGGAACCGCGGGCAGCTGGGGTCCCGCGCCCTGCCTCCTTCGCGGTCCGCGGACCCAGGAGCTGTCGCCAGGAGAGCTGCTGGGGTAGGGAACAGGGCCAGGGCGCTCTCTGCCCCGGAGCGCAGGTTCCCTCCTCTCCGCGCTGGGGCTCACACCCTGAATTTACCGTTACCAGCTTGGCTGCACAGAGAAACTGTGCCGGACTGGGGAAGACAGTCCTCCCCTAAGAATTTCCCCTTCCTTCGAGTGTGTGTGTGTGTGTGTGTGTGTGTGTGTGTGTGTGTGTGTGTGTGTGTTTGCGCGCACGCGCACACGGTATCCTTTTTTGTGGCATCGGGGATCTGAGCTACATTCCAGTCTTTTTTAAAATTTTGAGACAGGATCTAGCTAAGTCACTAAGTCACCCAGGCTAGGCTGGAACCTCAGCCTCCCAGAGGGCTGGGATTATTGATGTGCACCACCCAGCCACAGCTCAGTTTTGTTTTGTTTTGTCTTTTGAGACAGGGTCTCACTATGTAGTCCAGGCTGGCCTCGAACTCTCAGTGATCCTCCTGCCTCAGTCTCTCCAGTGCTGGGATTACAGGTGTGTATCACCAGACCTGACAACTCAGAGTTTTTAATGTGACCACCCCCGGTTCAAGGCCAGCGAAGTTGCAAGCCCCGGAGGGTTCACCTGGCCCCAAGGACAGTAGATCATCCTGGGCTGATACTGCTGTGACCCTCACAGTCCCAGGCAACCTTTTGAGCTCTCTGGACCTGATGACCTTCACTCAAGGTGTTATGTATGAGTTTCACCCTGTTTGTTGACTGCAGCAATAATTCCATCTTCTTTATTGCTGTGGAGCTTTTTTATGGAGAAATCACAGTTTGAGTTTGCTTATCCATGCTACTGTGTATGGACATTTGGGTTGCTTCCCAGTCATTATTAAAGTTGCTGCAAACATTTTCATTTTTATCATATTGTGGACGTTTGTGGTCACTTCTTTTGGGTACACACCTAAGAGTGGAACTGCTAAAGAGGCAGTATGCACCTGTTTCCCAAGTAATTTTCTGAGATGACTACACCATTTTACAATTCCAGCTACCCTGAGCAAGAGTTCCAGCTCCTCCGCATCCTCCTGATGCCCAGTTGTGGTGGGGTGACCTTTTGGTCATGTCCCTCCTGGTGCTGTGGAATGGAGTCTCAAGTGATTTTGATTTTCATTTCCCTGATGATACCCATGTTGAGCATCTTTTCACATCATGGGGGACTCTGTGTGTCCTTTTTCCACAAGAACTGGCTAAGACTTTTGCCTCTCCCACAAACAGATTGTTTGTCTTTACTGATTTATGGTTGTTTTACATATTTTGGTTACTAGTTCTTTGTCTGATATATGTTTTCTAGTAATCTTCTCCCAGCTTTTGGCTTACATTTTTATTTTCTTAGTAAAACTCTTAATTTTAATGAAGTTTGTTTTAAAGAAATCTTTTCCTACCAAAGGCCAGGCAGATATTCTCCTGTTTTCTTCCAAAAGCTGGACTGATTGATCTGTTTAAACTTGTACTTGTAGATCATCCATGGTGTGAGGCAGGGATTCAGGTTCATTCTCCTCTTTTGATAAGTGGAGGTTACAAAGGCTTTCCCCTTTTACCTCACATATTTTTCTATTTGTACCTTTGAAGTAAGCAGCTACTACTTTTAGAGGTTAACATTAGTTAGATGAAAACATTTTTTTAATGTTCACATTAAGTAAAATGAGAGAAAAGACTCTGGAGTAAGCAGAACTGGAGCTGTTGCTGACCTCTGGCCTCAGAGGGCTAGCTACACTGCTATGTTCTGATTTTCAAAAAAGCTTAGTCGCATGCCTGTAATCCCAGCACTCTGGAAGGCTGAGGCAGGAGAATGATAAATTTGAGTCCCAGCTGGGTAATTTGATAACTTGGCAAGACCCTGTCTCAAAAGGGGGTGGGGAGGCTGGGAATGTAGCTCAGTCGGAAGGCGTGGGTTCAATTCCTTCTACTGAGGAAAAAAAAAAAAAAAGAACAGCTCAGTCAACGCCAAAGTCCATAGCATTGAGGCCTGGGCTGGGGTCTTGCTGGAGCAGGTCTGGAAACAGTGGGTACTTGGGAATTCCTAGTAGCTGGAAAGGTGAAGGAGAGGGGCTGTCTCAAGTCCTGAGGGGGCTGGAGGTGAACCCTCCCCTTTTTGTGGCAGGCAGCAGCCCCTGGGAGCTCTGCTGTCACGGAGACCTCGGGGTGGAGAAGGGGCGCCACCTTGCTCCTTAGATGGGCATCTCCTCCACAGGACAAACTGTTGCCCACAGACCCCGGTCCTCCAGGAGCAGCACGGCCAGCCCAGGGCCCAGTGTGAGGCAGTGATGCCGCTGAGCCTGGAGCCCATGACCAGCTTCCCTCTGCTGGCTGTGACAAGCAGCCTGGTACCAGAATTGCCTGGCGGCCCCAATGGATCCTTCAACAGTTCCTGGGCCAGCCCAGCGGAACCCAGCTCCCTGCAGGACCTGGTAGCTGTGGGGATCCTGGGGGCCGTGCTCTCAGCCATGGGTGCCTTGGGCGTGGCAGGCAATGTGTACACGCTGGTTGTCGTGTGCCGCTTCCTCCGGGCCTCAGCCTCCATGTATGTCTACGTGGTCAACCTGGCACTGGCTGACCTGCTTTACCTGCTCAGCATCCCCTTCATCGTGGCCACCTACATCACCAAGGACTGGCACTTCGGCGATGTGGGCTGCCGCGTCCTCTTCAGCCTAGACTTCCTGACCATGCATGCCAGCATCTTCACACTGACTGTCATGAGCAGTGAGCGTTATGCAGCGGTGCTCAGGCCTCTGGACACTGCACGGCGCTCAAAGGGCTACCGCAAGCTGCTGGCAATGGGCACTTGGCTACTGGCTTTGCTGCTGACCCTGCCCATGATGCTGGCCATCCGGCTGGTGCCCCGGGGCCCCAAGCACCTTTGCCTGCCAGCCTGGGGTCCACGTGCCCACCGCACCTACCTGACAGTGCTGTTTGGGACAAGCATCGTGGGGCCAGGCCTGGTCATCGGGCTGCTGTATGTGCGCCTGGCCCGTGCCTACTGGCGGTCTCAGCAGGCCTCCTTCAAGCAAACACGCCGGCTGCCCAGCCCGAGGGTGCTGTACCTCATCCTGAGCATCGTGCTGCTCTTCTGGGCCTGCTTCCTGCCCTTCTGGCTGTGGCAGCTGCTGGCCCAGTACCTTGAGGCACTGCCCCTCACACCTCGCACCGCACGCATAGTCAACTACCTGACCACCTGCCTCACTTACGGCAACAGCTGTGTGAACCCCTTCCTCTACACGCTGCTCTCCAAGAACTTCCGAGAGCATCAGCGCCGCCGTTTGCATGCACCGGGGAGCAGCAGTGGCTGTGGGCGTGCGGGCACCACCAGCTTCCTGCTCAGCCAGACCCACACTCAATGCGACCCGGGCCGCTCGCTGTCCTCCAGCAGCCAGCAAGCCACTGAGACCCTCCTGCTGTCCCCAGCCCTGGGAGGGGCCTGTGTCTGAGCCCCTAGGGACAGTGTGGGTAGGGGTGTGAGAGGCCAGGCTGGGAAGCCAAGGTCACAGCAGAACCCCTACTCCTGGTCCTGCCTCCTCTGCAGTCCTCTTCCCAAAAGCCCCTGCTGTCCTCCTCGTCGCTCCCCTCCACTCCATCAGTTCCTCCCCATGGTGACAGTGCCCCATGCACAGACCACCTCCAGGGCCTTCAGGGGCCTCTGCCCAGACCTGGCTTCTGCAGATGGTGAGCTGAGCCCCACACCCAACCTCCTACCCAGAGCACAGGACGCCGGCACCTGCCTTGTCCACCTGTCCTACCCACCTGCCCCACCTGGCTTCTGTGGGGCTTTTTCTTCTGTGGCTTCTTATGTGTCCTCCTCCTTCAGCACTTGGAGCAACAAGCCCAAAGGAAGAAAGGGTGTTCCAGGCCTGGGAGGGACCCCACAGCATGCAGAGGAGTCTGTGCCTTTGAGGCTTGTGCTGGCCCTGTGGCTAGTGCTGCTCATCATCAGGGTGGGGAAGGTGGGCAGAAGGGCAGGCCTGCCAAGGGTGGGAGGAGGACCACCCAGCTATGATCACATTGATGACACAGAGAGCAGGCCTCAGGCGGCAGCACAGCCCATACCAGACTCAAGTTGGCAGTGACGATACTCACGGTGCCCCAGGACGGACCACTGACCTCTACTACCATTTTCTCCCTGGTTGACTATTCCATGGCCAGACCTGGGAACAGTGCTGATGTCCCCTCCCTAGTCCCTCCACAGCATCCACCCTCCCGCCAGCCCCCTTAGAACCCTGGACAGAGGACACCTGTTCTCTTCTCCACAGGGGGCTCCCTAGAGACAGAGTCTCAGGATGGGACAGTGTCTGGAGCAGCAGGACAGTCACTGTCGGGATGAGGTGCATGTGGTGGCTGCCCAGATGTCCAGGAAGAGGCGGGCATAGGGTGCAGGGTGTTTCTGGACCTGGACGGTCATGGCTGGACCGTGCCTGGAATCGTGTGTTTCACTGTGGCTAAAATGGCAAGTTTGTGACAAGTATCTTACCTTAAAAACAAAAAGGGCTAGGGTGTAGTGGCTCAGTGGTAAAGTGCGCACCCCACATGCACTAGACCCTGGGTTCTACCCTCAGCACTGCAAGATAAACAAGCAAAGACGAAAGGGGGTGGGGCAGTGGAGGGCATGGGGGCACATGGGTGTCCTGCCTGCCTCTTGATGGGGTGGGGTGCGGGGGCTTCAAGGTTTTAGAAATCCTTTTTCTTTCTTGACCAAAACCCAATTCCTAAAGCTTTATCTCTATAAAGAAATGAAAGCAAAATTAAAGTTGAAAATTCAAGAGCCAACAGTACCTGCCTGGCAAGTGCAAGATCCTGAGTTTGATTCCTGGTACCAAAAAAAAAAAAGAAGAAAATTCAAGAGCCAGAGTTGGGGCTTCTGTTTATAGGTCCAATGCTTGGACAAGTGACCTTGGCCCAGGGCAGCAGCCACAAGATTTGGGGGAGACTTCACTGCTTGATCTCTTCATACTCAGCCCACCCAGCCAGCCAGTCCAGCACGGCTTTGGACAAGCTCAGGGGCTGGCTGGTGGGGCAGAGTGTGCACACCCAGCAGTGACTGCATCTGGCTGCTTTGCAGTCACAGTGCTGCGGGGGTGGGGGGCATCTCCAGCAGGAACAGCCTCTGTTCGGCCCCCCTACTCTAGGAGCCCCCAGTCCTCCAGGACAGAGCCGAGGACAACAGGCCCCAGCACTGCCTGAGCTTCAATCAGCGCCCATCATCTTCTGTATCTAGGGGCGCAGGTGCCCACAGGGCCCTCAGGCTCATGAGCTTGTGTGCTGTGGAATGTGGCCTCGGCCCACATAGTTGAGGTCCAGGAGGTGGATAAGCTGGGTCTGTGGCATGTGTGTCCTTCTTCCAGGGGAGCAGATACACCCCAGATACACCCCCAGATACCTCCCCAGATACTCTCAGCTATACCCCAGATGCCTAAGAGGAATAGGTTCTGAAGTCAGAGCTTCTGCTTAAGGCTGAGAGACAGGAGGGACGTGGTCTGTGAGTGTGTGGGCCTGGGAGACAGTGACCAGTGGGGGATTTGGGGACAGGGGAGATGGAAGAGACCCAGGATGCAGAACCAGGACGGCATGTGGAGTTCTTCAGAGCTCCAGGCCCGGGAGGGACCTGAAGGTGAAATGCAGCCTGCAGGAGGAACCTGCACCAGTGCACCCACTGCCCTGCCTTGCACCTCCACGAGTGCGGACGACAGCACAGACAGGGCACAGCCACAGCTCACCCAGGGCCAGGCCTCCAAGGGGACTCTCGGAGCCGGTTACCAGCCTGGCTGGCACACGGGTGTGGGGCAGGGGGAGGAAGTGCTGCAGTGTCATCCTTAGGCCTCTGGGCCCTCTTTATCACCAGGTCAACAGTGCCCCAGCCCCAGCGCTCCTGGACCAGCAAGCACACCTGCACTCACAGCAGGCCTCTGGGCAATGGCAACGAGGATGATGCTGAATGACTCTGTGACAAAGCACTGAGCCCCTTCCTGCCCGACACAAGCACCACCCACAGCCCTATGGAGGCTGCCACCAGCTTGCTGCTCCCACCCCAACTCCTGGCACCAGGTACCCGCGGACAGCCAGACCTCAGCTCCTGGCAGAGGCAGGCACTGCTGAAGCCAAGCAGGAGATTTATGAGCCCTGTCTGGCCGGAAGCTGGTCTCCAGCCCCACAGGCACTGTGCCTGGCCTTAGCCCTGTCTGCCCAGAGCTCAGGCTGGGCGCTGGGTCCCCAGACTATGAAGCTACTGAGGGCCTGTGGGGCCTGGACGGGGCAGTTATGATTTCTGTCCTTTTACAGAGATACGCAACCACCATCACAATCCAGATTTAGAACACTGTTACTTGGGGTTTTACAAAGAAACAGGACCCAGCAGCTACACTTTTGGAGATCATTGTTGCATAAAGGCCTTGGGAGTGGATCTGAACCCCACACACAAAACTTTCGCAGAAGCACGCAGGCTCGTGTTTGACGGGATATCAGGATACCGTGGCCCAGCCATGTGGCCATAAAACTGGCCATCAGGAAGGCAGCCTTCTCACCCTCCCAGACCTTCCCCTGTGTACATCTCCAGCAACCCCTGCTGCCCCTGCCCCAGGGACAGCTGAGCTGTAGCCTCTTGTGGATCAGCTGGTCTATATCAACACTGAAAGCTCAACAGCTGGGGGCCTCTCCAAAGCAGAACACTTCTGGAGCCACTCCTATCTCTTTCCGTTCCCTGGCCAGTGCCTGTGGTGTGGAGGCGCAGATCTGCTTTGCTCCCACCTCTCCCATGCGGGCTGCTACTATGAGGATTTGGTGCAGGTAAGTGTGAATGGGCATTGTCTGTTCTTGGGCAGATGCTGAGGAGTGAGGCTGCTGGCTGTGGTGTCAGTTTAGGAGCACTGAAGTACACTAAGCCCTTTTTATTTATTTTGAGACAGGGTCTGGCTAAGTCACTCAGGCTGGACTTGAACTTGAGATCCTCCTGCCACAGCCTCCCAGAGTGCTGGGATCACAGGCATGCACACCACACCTGACTAGGTGTAGAGTTTTGAGGAACATTATTCTGCTTCCCAAGTTGACTATACCACTCCTGCTCCTTTGAGGTTCCATGAGGGCCTGTCCCCACACATGTTCTCTGGTACATACTGCTTTCTGCTTGACAAGCGGCCGTGCTAGCAGGCAGGGATTAATACCCGGCTGCGCTGTGGCGCAGCGACCATCCCCAGAGCCTGCACCTGCTCGACTTGGCCATGGCGTTGTCCTGATCCAGCACCAGTCGCCAGGGGTCAGTCCTGGGACAGTGACACATACCACACACAGCATCACACGACACACATCATACACAACACACACACACACAGATCACATACACCAAACATACAACACATATCTCAAATGTACAAGAACTACATATGATACATACTACACACAGTCCCCACACATGCTACATGCACACACCACCAGCACACCACACATACCACACCCCACCATCCCACATACAACAACTATACTACACATATGTTCACACACCCTATACCCACACAAACACAAACATATCACACACAAAAAATACATTATACTCACCACACGTACACCATACACAACACACACACGCACACACACACACCACCACACCTGCCTTCCACCTGCCTGTCCTTGAGGCACCTCACTGGGAGACAACCCATCAGCCCTCTCTGCACAGCAAGTCCAGCCCTGCCTGGTGACATCTGTCTAGGCTCCCCCACCTGGTGATGTCCTGAAGCACAATCTTCCACAAGACGGGCCAGTGTCGCAGTGGGTCACCTTGGCTTCTTCCTCCCCCACTGTCCCCTTCCCTGGCCCCAGCAGCAGTGGCTGTGTGTCCATGGCCTGGATGGTCTTGACTCCAGGAGGCTGAGGCCACCTTGCTGGTTTCTCTGCACAGCACGAGGCCCTCCTGGCATCCTGAGCCCAGCGGCAGAGCTGCACTGCAGAACCCGGCCTGGCCTGACCCTCTCAGCCTCTGGGGATCCCCCACCGTGCTGGCTCCTGGGAACACAGGAATAGTGCCTTCCTAGGTGTGGTGATGTCATCCTCATGTCCCCTGGGGCTTTCAGTGGTCCTGTTTTGAATGCTGAAGAACACAAGTGCTTGCAGTGAGCTCAGACAGGAGCCGAACCCAGGTGAATAGTGATGGTGTGTGTTGTGTGTCTTGTGTGTCCCTGGGATGCAACCGGTCACAGTCAGCCTCATGCCAGCATTGTGGGCTGCTGGGGACAGGCTGCTGGACCTGGAACCTCAGGAAAATGTGGTGAGCCAATGGACAGAGCCCTGGGCTGGCCAGGCCATCTCAGTGGAAGGAACTTCACGGACAGCAGCTACAGTGTCTCCCAGACCTTTGAGGCCCTGGGGACAGACAGGAGGGAGCTCTAGGGCCCCCGCCCTTCCTGGCCACTCTGAGCAGCCCAAATGCCTATGTGTGGTCCTGCTGCCTTCCAGCTTCAGTGCTGACTGCTCACAGTGACCCCTAACCCTGCAGCTGCCATATGTCCCATGAACATGCTTTGATGCTTCACCTCCCCCAGCCTTGGTCCATCTGCCACTCCTAAACTTCAGACCCCCTCATATCAGAGTGCTGAGTCAGTGAGGACAGGTTGGAGGAAAGCCATGGGGCCCAGGGCACACCACCCTGGGGGACCCACACACACTTGGCCCCAGGCTTTCTGAGCTCGGCCCCACACACCTGGAGATTCGAACAGCTGGCCTAAGGTACCCAGACCTGTGTCTCAGCTGTGGGACCTGTATTTTAGCACCAAGCCTGGAGCCTTTGTCAGCCTAGAGCAGTGGACTTTCCCTGCGTGACCCAAACCTCTGCCCCTCAGGACCTGGTAGGACTAGACACCCTGCCCCTGCCCAGGTCACCCCTGCAGCAGCTCTCGAAGGATGGGTCAGGTGCTAGTGCCGACTCAGAGGCACCACGCCAGGCCACAGGCGGTAGGGCTAAGGTGGGCAGCAGGGCTGAGGTGGGTGGCCTTGACAGCTGGGACTCTGCACGTCGAGCTCAGGAGGAGGGTTTTGGGCCAGCCCGGCAGAACATGTCCTCACAGCTGCAACGTGCCGGCCCGCTCTGGAGGCATCAGACCCAGATGGGGGGTGCCAGGGCCTGGAAGCCTGGTTCCTGGGGTGAAGGAAGGCAGATGATGAGGAGAGGCCACCCACTCCTTGGACTTGGCCAGCTGCTGGGGAACCAGCCACCCTCCCATCTGGCCCCGGGAGTCACACAGGGGCAGAGGCTGCTTGGGGTGATGGTCGAGGCCCCTTGTTTTCCTTGTTTTGTTTCCCCCAGTTGTTGGAATTGAAGCCAGAGCCTTCACACTGAGCTCCCAAGACCTTTCCATTTTTTATTTTTTGGGAGGAGTTGTTTGTTTTGTTTTTTTAGTCAGGACCTCAGTCACTAAATTTCCCAGGCTGGGCTCAGACTGTCAATCTTCCTGCCTCAGCCTCCAGAGTGCTGGGGTTGCAGGCTGGCACCATTATGCCCTGCTCCCCCAGTTTAAAATGTCATCTATTCAGCACTCAGACCTGTAGAAGAAGAAAACCAGTCCGAATGCCTGTGTGGAGTATGGCCCAGCTCCCAGCACTGAGCCTGGTGTCAGAGTCATATTTAGAGGAAGGTGGGGCAGCGCTGACTGCCCTGGGAGACTTTGGCCACCCTGGGACCATGCTCCCAAGATTGCATGCAGTGGCCGCTTTCTTTCCAGATGACCAAGACCACAGACCAGTTTGGGAGTTGGTCCCACTGGCTCTGGGTCTCTTGTCCT